AAAAAAATCACTACTCACCCAGCTTGCTTGGCCCTTTGCCAGAGTTTTCATCTGTTTCTGATTTTTCTTCAGTGACAAAGTAACTATAAAGCAAGAAAGTAAAATGTCTAGGTATCTCTTCCTACTTTTACAACAGACAAATCCCACAGCATTTTGCATTTCCTTAGAGAATTACCCCATCTTGGAAGAGTTGTCCTTGAACAGAAGTAAGGTAGAATCTGACGAGAGAGGCTTGGGTACAGAGAGGTCAACCGACTTGCCGATTTCACTACTGCCATCCGTATTTTCTTTATCTATTTCTTTCTCATCTTTGCTTCTGATATCTTCATTACCAAGAAGGAATTCTGCAGTCTTTACCAACCACACCACCCAAAAACAAAGTAACACAAGTCAAGAAATTTAAACGCAATTCCACTAACTTAAAATATTGCTGCTTGGGCATACCTTAAGTCTACTCTTTTGTTCATTTGGTTTTTTCAGTCTTTTTGAGACTGAGTTTCATTATATAGTTCAGGCTGGCCTCGGACTCACAGCTCATCTTCCTGCCTCAACCTCCTGAATGCTGAGATTACAGGCGTGTGCCACCACGTCTAGTGGTCATATCTTAAATCTAAAAAGCTGTACTTGAAGTTAGCTCAGCATGACCATAATCATCATAATTTTCTCTAACACAGAGCTCTTTTTGACCTATTTCACTTTTTACCCTCTCAATCATGTTGTTATGATTATAAAGACTGGATTATCAGTTTACTGAGGGAACAGAAGGCTTAATGACTGCAGGATGACTACTGATCTCAAACCAACCAGACTACATGCAGTATGTGCCAAGCTCAACCACTGCTGTCTTTTTCTTTTACCTAGCATTAAATATTAACCACCTCTTTTGAGCAACCCTAAATATAATACAAGAAAGTTTTCCATAATTAATAGTCATAAATCACCTGTCTTCCCTGAGCACAAAACTATACTATGGAGCAAAGGCAAGAGGCTCTTCTATAAATACCTTCCTTAACAAAGAATGAGAGTAATTTCAGAAGGCCTCTGCTCTTCTGTAAATTTGTTGTAGACTTCAACCTGGCCAAGGTTAAGCTTGTTTTTTTCAATTTGAATAAAGAAAAATGAATAAAAAAGGTAAAGTTCCTCATTAATACAAAGCTGTTTCCTATATCAGTATTACATTAACATGCATAAACTAACAGGTAGGACACAATCTGCGAACTTCAAGTGTTTAATGGTGCTGATAGAACTAAATCTACCAAGACTCAGGCATGAAAATACTTTCATCGAGGCCCCTGTAAATCTAAGTGAACATGCTTTCTATACTCTTATTTTAAACCTATTTTCTCTTGCTCACCATTTTCTTTTTTTTTGGGGGGGGGGTACTGGGGATTGAACTCAGGACCTTGCGCTTGCCAGGCAAGCACTTATTCTACCGAGCTATCTCCCCAGCCCTTGCCCATAATTTTTTTTTTTTTTTTTTTGGTGGAACCAGGGATTGAATTTGGGCCTTTGTGCTTGCCAGGCAAGTGCTTATTCTACTGAACCATTTCCCTGGCCTGCCCATAATTTTTTAAAAAAATATAAATTGCCAGAAACCTCCTGATTGCCTTCCTCCTCTTCCTCTAGTTCTTCCTCTTCCTTCTCCACTCCATCTTCCTCTTCGTTCTCTGTCTCCTCTTCTCCATCTTCCTCAGACTCTTCTGTCATTTCTTCCTCTTCCTCCTCCTCTTCTTCAAACCCATCTTCATTATCCAATTGAAATAATGCTTGGCGCTTTTGGCGCTCCTCAAACCTTCGGAGTTTCATTGCTTCTTGCAATTTAGCTTTTAATGCCTGCAGTTTTTCACCTAAAAGAAATATGCTGAAATGCTTCAGACACTGTGCCTGAACACAATACAAGAATTAAGTAGGTATTTTAAGTAATCTAGTCACATCCTAAA